ACTTGTAGTCATTAATTTTCCCCTGACTCTTTTGAGCTTCAGTTGTTTCATCCAAGTATTATTCGTTTTGGATACGTCCGCCATTTTGTAACATCAGCTAGGCGAGGCGAATCAATTTATTTTGTTGAAGTTGCAGCACGAATTGGAGCCTGCCTGCATGCATGCACTTGGAGGATCCAAAGTCTCGTATGGCAGTGGGCAGTGGCACATGCACATGTATGATCATATATGCACTGGCAATACGTGTATTCGTATACACGGATCTCGTACATGCATAGCCGCATGGGATAAGTAGTACTCAAATATGTCATCAGCGATGACTAAACGAAATTTATAAGATGCGTGTAAACTGATCCGTACGAGGCATTCCAGAAGAGTCTACACACTGCACTTTTTTACTCTGCCGTGACATGTCATTATCTTGGGCTAAAAATAAAAAAAATAAAATAGCGTCAAATAGAAGGCACACACTGCTGTGCAAGAGTGCGTGCACGTGGCAACCACGCGCTCGGGGTCAACTGTGCAAGTATTAGGACCGGACTGGCATTCCATATGCATGCACTTCGAGCTGGCCTCCATGTTCGTAACAGATGAGTCCAAAAGGTAAACCATAAAGACAACAAAGTCAGGACAGCGAAAGAAAGTGCAAGTTGATACATATAGGCTGCAAAATACAGCAATATTGCTGCTTCTTTGTAAAGCTTAATTTGAAAATGGAGCCAATGGAGTCGATCCTAGCTTTGTCGTACACTGGTACGAAAATACTCACTCTCTCTTCCAAAATATAATAATATAATATCACATGAGACATTTTAGCACAAATAAAAAGCTTGTTCATATTCGTAATATTATGATATGTCTTATCCGATCATAGGTTCTTATATTTTTGGATTGAGATAGTATGGGCTGTTTGGTTCAATGCTTCAGACATCTTAGCACAAATAGAAAGCTTGTTCATATTCGTAATATTATGATATGTCTTATCCGATCATAGGTTCTTATATTTTTGGATAGAGATAGTATGGGCTGTTTGGTTCAATGCTTTAACTTGCCACATCACACTTTAGGATGCCACACCTCCTTAGCCTTATGTTTGATTCATTGCCATAGTTATGGCAAGCCACACTTTCTTATCATCTTACCCCACATGTCATAGACTCAATCATTTGTCTAACTTTGCTACAAGTGTGGCTTACAATTTGTAGGCCACAAAAAAATGTGGCAAAGCCACACTTGTCTAACATTGCCTAAAGTGAGTTATGGCAATGTTAGTTAAGAACCAAACGACCCAAATATTTTGCATGTGGTCCGTAATTCATTACATGGGTGTTTTTCAATCGGCCTATAACTAATGGCATGTAAAAATCACATGATTTTTATGGACGCATTCCACAACCACCCGTGAAAATTGATTTTCACTGGCAACTCTCTTAAGGAATCACATGTAAAAATGAATATCATGCTTTTGATTTTTTTTAACTGTAAAAAAGAACCCCCCAAAAAAAATATTTTAGATTTTTGTAGGCATCTATAGACGCAAAATTTTACTGGCTTTCCCTTATGTGAACCGACCATAAAAAATATTTTAAGGGCGACTCTTTAAAATGTCTGCCTGTAAAAATCATTTTAGGGTGTTTCGTTAAGAAGTCTGCTGACAAAACCCTTTTTTCTTTATTCTTTGATAATGACTAAACTTTACTTTTTTAGAAAATTCATTTTATGTCCGATTAAGGTGAACAGAAGTTCTCAACCTTACAACATTCTGGGTCGATGTTTCCTTAAAATACTTCTTTTGATATGATTGTTCACTTATGTCCTGTAGTCTCTATATGTTGATATATTGCATAATGAATGGGCATACTAAAAGAAATATTAAGTAGCTCATATCAAAGAAAATAATAAATAAAGATAACAATCTATAAAACTTTTGGTTTACCTCGATTGGGCCAAATATGAATTTTCTAGAAATTTTCAAACTTTGAACTTTCTGAACAATTCCCCGTAATAATAGATATATCAAAGCCTGTAATGAATATTAGCCACCTGAACGATCTCATTTATAATAGCTTTTAATAACAAAGTTGTAGATCTGGCCGAGCTCGATAATTTCAATATAGAACATTTCTCCATCCAGCGTTGTTTGGAAAACTAAAAAGTAGTTACGAGAATAGTAACAAAAAATTTGCCACACTAAACAACCTAAAATGAAACAACTTTAAACTGCAAAGTTATAGGTTTCATCAAGACCTACAATTTTCATATTAAGTTTGTCATCATCCGACTTCACATGAAAAAGTTATAATTTTTTTCGTATTTTAGTGGGGCTTCTAGTTTTAACGTCTTGTACAGAATGCATGGTCCACGAAAATAGATTTTATAGGTGGATTTCTTTGGGATCTGCCCAAAAAGTATACATATTTTTAAAGGGGAATTTCAGACCAACCCGTAAAAATAGTTTTTTTAACAGGCGGTTATGACCCTAAGACAACCTCAACCATTTCCACAAGTATTTTTTCTTTTGGATCGTCTATGTGAAGATAAAAGCCTAATGTCCGAAAAAAGACTTTTTAAGTAGCATCACTAATTAAGGTGTAGGGTTAATTCTTAAAATTATTTGATTTTGTCTTCATGATCGACTAATAATTCTATTTTGCATATAAAAGTCTAACTAATTGATATAATGCGGTATTTGGTTGTTTGTTCACAGCTAGAAATCCCCGAATATATGGACCGAATCCCGTACGGGGATCAGAGAAGATAACCATCAAATGCTATGAAGCCAAATTGCTTTGAAATGTTTTTGTTGGCTTCTTGCTAAAGAAGGTCCAACACTGTATAGTTTTTGCATTGTTATTATGCATGTGCATGTTACTATTTCTGTTATAGGATGTTGTAACATCCCGGCCTAGGGCTTAATAGGATTAATAGAATACTCATATCAACAAGTTGCAACTTCTTTTCCGGAAGCCAGTCTGGCCTGGAGCAATTTGGGATGGGTGACCGACCGGGAAATTCTTCCCGGGTGCACACGAGTGATCAGAGCCGACTCTCGCGGTTTCACGGGCGCGTGTGTCGCAGTTGCGCAGGCATGGTGCGCATGGCTGGTGTAGACCGGGAGTGGTTACACAGCATGGCACATGCGCTGGCACTGGACACATGGACGTGGCCAAGAGAGGACGTTCTTGGCCTAGGGTTGATCGACGGGGGCGTCGATCTCTCTTAAGGGGGTCACATGGACGTGGCCAAGAGAGGACGTTCCTGGCCTAGGGTTGATCGACGGGGGCGTCGATCTCTCTTAAGGGGGTGAGGGTGTAACATCCCGGCCTAGGGCTTAATAGGATTAATAGAATACTCATATCAACAAGTTGCAACTTCTTTTTCGGAAGCCAGTCTCCAAAGAACTCCAGGGTTAAGCGTGCTTGGCCTGGAGCAATTTGGGATGTTGGTCTGTGAGGGCAGTCTATGACCTATGAAAGCTATCAGATGTAAGTGGGCCCAGACATGTGTTGGTCTGTGAGGGCAGTCTATGACCTATGAAAACTATCAGATGTAAGTGGGCCCGGCCTGGGGGAGGCGGGACGTTACAGATGTAAACTACATCTTTGTAAAGCTTTGAAAATGGAGCCAATGGTGCACTACTTCCATCACACTAGGGTTTCATGTGGCCATAGGATGTGTTGGTAAATTTTGAAAGTTTGATTGTCATTGAATGTGACAACAAGGAATAAATATATTTCACATCTAAAAATAATAATAGGCACTTGAGTTATAGAATAGAATCAGTTGTTAACCATCACATACTTACAGCACCAGATCACGCTACCTATAACGTGGTTTTTGATGCATATGGCTTGCTAAAGCATGTCCAACAATTTGAGGATTATTTTTTTTTATTATTAGGCACATGCACATGCATGTCATTGATTTTTCCTGTGCTATCTGCATAAGACATGGTGGATGAAGAAAAGAAGAGAGAGAATGTATAGACATGATAATAATTTTGATTCAGCTGGCATCTTTGAGTTAAAGTAGGTAGATTTAGGAAGGGTAAATTCTATTTTTGCCCTGAACTTTGTTCGAACTAAAAAGTCTATCATTTACTTTTAACTACAAAACTAGTTATTTTTTCAATCTCAATTTTCAAAACAAGACAAAAATAACACCATAAACCATATTTCAAGGTGGCTTTGATAAGAAATATTGGTGTGTGTACATGTGTTTTTTTTTTTTGCAAACATGAAATTCAAATAGGTAAATTTTATGGTTGTCGACCTAATTGATATCTACACGGGTAAAATATGTATAATAAGAATATAAACTAAGAAATCCACCTTCATTTCATCCAAAGCCACAAAAAATGATATAAGGTGTTACAAACGGTTCCATTGTTTAGGGTAAAAATTAAACCTCGAGGAGTTCAGGAACAAAAAATGGACTTTACCCATTTAGCAAAAATCTGATATACAAGATATTTATATAGTCAGACAGTCAGCCTCCGTTTATCCTTTATCCTTGTAATCTAAGACGACTATTTAGACGATATGCAATAACAAGAAAGCATTCCCTTGAGAGATTAAAATCCATTTCCCGGTCGATCGAAGTGCTTGCACTATGGGATATATAATAATTCAGTAGGTTTTGGAACGGGGCGCTGTCAAATGTGATTCTCAATTTGCCAATTTGCTTAAGTTGTTTGGTGAAATTTCCGAACAATGGAAACAAGAACAATTAAGGATTACTGATGGGACTGCTCATTTATACCATATTTTTCTCCTTAATTGCATGAATCGTACATGATTGTAATACACGACCCTATCCATGACTCCATGTGCCTGTGGTTGCCTTGCTGGAATCAGGTAGCTAAAAACTTGGTGAAGGAGGCAAAAAAAAAAAGAAACTCTACAGTGAAAGTCAAAGCCTCGTCCAATTGCATCCAGCTTCGAGCAGGCACTTGGACAAAACTTATAAATAGCTCTGCCAAGCATGACAGAGCATATTCATCGAGAGATCGAATTCGGTTCTCGTCTCGATCATCAGTTTGGCCTGTCGATCTCTGTCCATCTCTGACGACGCCGACGGCCATGCAGCAGCTGCTCGCGATGAAGCTGATCCTGACGACGCTCGTCGTCGCCGTGCTGGCGCTGTCCGCCGGCACGGCCACGGCCACCTGCGACACGCTCACGGTCGGGCACTACCGGCAGTCGTGCCGCGCCGCCGAGACCATCGTGCGCGACACCGTCAAGCTCTACTTCTCAAAGGACCAGACCGTCACCGCGCCGCTGCTCCGCCTCCACTTCCACGACTGCTTCGTCAGGGTAAAAATTACTAGCATATACTCTCTCCGTAAAAAAAAAACTCAACTTATTTGAATTTTATCTCACAAAAACTAACTTCTACCATCTTATTTATCCTCCGTATGTAAAACGAGAAGTTTTATTTCTTCAATACCCTTTACCCACCCATCACTCTTACTATTTTTATCAATGATTAAGAGTATTTTAGTCATTCTCTATCTCTACTACTTCTATTATTAGATTTATTTTGTAACGGAGGGAGTATATCAATTATCAAGAACAAGTTAAGCTATCAGCTTGTAATTGACAGCTGCAAATGTGGATGGAGAACTTACCCAAGTTTAAAATTATTATTGGCAGGGATGTGACGGATCGGTGTTGCTGAACGCGACGGCGGCGAGCGGGCCGGCGGAGAAGGACGCGATGCCGAACCAGAGCCTGGACGGGTTCTACGTCATCGACGCCGCCAAGGCGGCGCTGGAGAAGGAGTGCCCCGGCGTCGTCTCCTGCGCCGACATCCTGGCGCTGGCGGCCAGAGACGCTGTCTCCATGGTTTGAGACTCGCTCCACTGATGAATTCTCCTGTTACTGTAGAGACGATGAGCAATGCAAAAGCTGATGCTGATCTGATCATCCGATTCTTGCTGTGCTCTGTCTTTTCAGGCTGCCGGGAACATCAATGGCGCGAGCCTTTGGCAAGTCCCGACGGGGCGGCTCGACGGCCGCGTGTCGTCGGCGGCGGAGGCCGTGGCCAACCTACCGTCTTCTTTCGCGGATTTCGCTAAGCTCAAGGAGCAGTTCGGTTCCAAGGGCCTAAATGTGCAAGACCTCGCGATCCTATCAGGTATAGTAGTGCTAACCATGGACGATTCTAAAGCTACGTGCGATTTGCTGTACTGTTCTTGCTGTATGCCGTGTCAGAGTCAGGCACAATCTTGGTCTTCAGGTCGGGTCAAAATGACAGAATGAACTGAACCTCAATAATGACATTTCTGACTTTTTTTCTGTATGGAGTTGCTTTCTTGCTTTCTTATTAAACATTTGCGTGTTCAGAAATCATAGAAATGTTGAACATCTTTTAACCTTTTTTTTCAAAGCGTCAAGTCACATTCCGATTAAGATATCATTATCCCTGGCAATTTCTCGAACCGTAAGATGACACTGACAACAAGGGAGACAGTAATTAACACAGTAAATTATATTAATTCCTTTACATCACTGTTTCAGGTGCTCACGCCATAGGCAATTCACACTGCGTCTCCTTCGCCAAGCGGCTCTACAACTTCACCGGCAAGGGCGACGCCGACCCGACGCTCGACCGGGCGTACGCCGCGGCGGTCCTCCGCGCCGCCTGCCCGCCGCGGTTCGACAACGCGACCACCGTCGAGATGGTGCCGGGGAGCTCGACGACGTTCGACACCGACTACTACAGGCTGGTGGCGAGCCGGAGGGGCCTCTTCCACTCCGACCAGGCGTTGCTCCAGGACAGGGAGGCGGCGGCGACGGTGCGCGTCATGGCGAGGTCGAGCAGGCAGGCGTTCTTCCGGCGATTCGGGGTGTCCATGGTGAGGATGGGCAATGTCGGGGTCCTGACGGGAGCCGCAGGAGAGATCAGGAAGAACTGTGCTCTGATTAATTGATGGGCAGAGATTTGATCTTTGATATAAGTTATTACTAAGTCATGTACTAATGATGTTCTATTGTTTGGTGTCTAATTAAGTTATTACTACTACTACAAGGTAAATTTCATGAGGGAATAACTTGCTCGGCATTGTTTGATTTGTTTTATGTTAATCATCGACTTGTTAATGTACTCTTGCACTGATCTTCTCCATGTATGAAATGGCAGAGCCGCTGCCACCCTTCTCCAGAAAAAAAGATGTTGGCCATGTTGACATTTCTTCTTTATTTTTTTGTCAACATTATGAGCTTGAGAGGATGAGCTATATACTTGGATGATTCTATACCTTTGCTGTCTGCCTGTCAGCATTCAAGCCCATGTTGGATACATGTTCAGTTTTCAGCCCACCCAAGGGACGATTTTGGGCCCAATATTCACAAGGCTTTGACACATGCAGACACAAAAGTCCACAGCATAGAAAGGGGAAAACTGCTTCCGAAAACACTTTACCCGACTGACTTTTACTGACCACTTTAACTCCCCAACTACCAAAATATCACTTTACACTTCACTCCACAGACTTTGGGTAGTACAATATTTTATATTACCTCAGTCGTAAAATATAGCTATTTTTAGTACAATACTTTATCTAAACTGAAACTATTTCTTCACTTATCTTCTTCTCTTAACCAATTACAACCATTCTTTTTTATCTACTTTCTCTTCTCAACCAATCACATACTTCCTCTAATCATTTTTATATTTTTTTAACCCATATTAACCTAAAAAAATACTTACATTTGAAGTATATGCTAGTCTCCTCGGAGACGTCTTATAATCTTATCTTTTTACTTTAGGGCAGTGTTCTTGTTTATTTTACTTTATCCAGCGTCGCTAGAAGAACAACCATTGTATAGGAAGTAGGAACCAGTGCAGTTTAAGGTTCCCATGGTTTCTAACGAATCATGGTTTTGCAGCATCCGCCTTTGCGTTTACCCACGGGCGAAGTTTCGCCAATTGTTCTCATCCGGATATCAGCAAGAACCTTAAGCAAGGAACCCAAGAATAAAATACAGAAATATACTCCTAGAGAGCTAGCTAGCCTCGCTCATCACTCATCAGAGTACCAATCCCCTTTATACCTGAACCTTTACAACATACACGTTCACCGAGCCATCCATCAGCCAGAAGAGAATTTGATCCCTATTTGAGTTTCCGTTTCACTTTCCAGCACAAGTCCAACGGCCAGGGCTCGATCAACTAGCCAGGAATCACGCAGTGCTCTGCTCTGGATATCGAATGTTGGCATCTCGATCGCTTTTGGGCAGCAAGGCAAGAATATTACTTGCCTTCCACACCCTTAATCACATGCACGGCCCCCATACAGACGCAGCTATAAAACATCACGAACGCCATGAGAAGATGTCCATTGTCCAAAGCCAAGAGCAGCAGCAGAGGGTAGCTAGCTCGAACAGCACACTACTGAAGCTGATCAGAAGGAAGCAGCAAGGCAAGCAGGTTTAGTTTAAGCAGCAGCTCGCCGCCGGCAATAATGCCGCCGTACCGGCTGCCGATGTACCGGGAGAGGCCGGCGGTGAGGTGCATCAACTTCCTCTGCGCCGTGCTGCTCACCATGGTGCTCGTCGCCGGCATCATCATGTTCGTGCTGTGGCTCAGCCTCCGGCCGCACCGGCCCAGGTTCTTCCTCGACGACTTCACCATCCCCAACCTCAACCGGCAGTCCGGCGCCGTGAACCTGCCGGTGAGGTTCACCGTCGACGAGCGCAACCCCAACCAGAAGATCGGCATCCACTACGGCACCATCTTCGGGTCGGTGTACTACAACGACCTGCTCGTCGCGTCGGGGCCGGTGGTCCAGCCATTCTACCAGCAGCCCAAGGGCGACACGCCGCTGGCCGGCGAGCTCACGGCGTCCGGGCCGACGCCCGGCGACCCGGCGTGGCAGCGGTTCGCCGGCGACGCGGCGGCCGGCAGCGTCGCGCTCCGGCTGCTGCTCAACTCGACGGTGAGGTTCCAGGTGCAGATGTGGGACACCAGGGAGCACCACATGAAGGTGGACTGCGAGTTCGGCCTGCGTGGCGACGGCACGCTCCAGCAGGGGGACAAGAACAAGCAGTGTACGCTCTACTTCTAGGGTGGATGGACCGTATCTTAATTTTTCCTCGATTTTTCTTTGTGAGTGGTTTTATATTTTTCATCGTTTGGATTTTCGAGTGATATTGATTATTACTTTTTACCCCTTGTTGACAAATGTAATTTGTTTGTAACTGTACATTAATTTTATTAAACTGTCTGAATTATTAATGTTGTAGCGCGAGTGTATGTGCCAGGTTCTTTGTCTAATTATATGGTACTATAAACGATAGACTACTTGATATTGAGAGAATATTTTGAGGGTACAAACGGATTAATGAACTATTATAAAGTAAAAAAAAAGCTGTTTTGAAGTACTACTCTTAAGAAACTTGTGTATATAAAACTTTTATAAAAATCATACCGTTTATAAGTTTGGAAGAGCGTGATGATGACAATGAATAATATGTAAAGAGGAAAATAAGGGGGAACAGAGAAACGATTGATCGAAAATAGCTGATTGTTTTTCAAGGTTTCACTGGGATCGGAGAAGGGTTTAATGTCCAGTGTAACGGTTGAAGGTATGACAACTAGACAATCTACCATTTTTGCTCATAGTTTTCTGCAAGCAGTCAATTGTACAAAATAGTGATGTTTTACCCCCCAACTTTATGGGGAGATGTACTTCTTTGTTCTACCGATGGCTCAGTATAGTTAAGGAATCATTATTAACATGGACTCAGGAAAGATTATTCACAATGTATACCCATGAGATGATGAGAATGATCAGGGCATCAGGCAGAGGGTAAGTATTAATACATCATTTGGGAAGGTATAATATTTATGTGTTAACCCTAACCAATCATAAAATCTTGGCTAATACAGGCTATTAAATGTTGATTCTGTCAAGCTGCAAACAATTTACAACAAAACTGCAGTGGTAATTTCCACATACTCCAGAGACCCAGATACACACTAGGACATTAGTAACCTGGACTCACCAATGAGCACCAGAGTTGATTGATATCTGTTTAGCTTTCCTCCAGTCTCCGCAACACAGAGTCAGCAAAGATGCGCTGCCTGAAAATTGAAAACCTTATTAGAAATTCAACTGCTTTTAGTGAGAGAGAGAGAGAGAGAGAGAGAGAGAGAGAGAGAGAGAGAAAGAGAGAAGGAAGAATCACGCACTTCTCTTCAGTGTGTTTGGGACTAGGGCGGTTGTGTTTCAGATACCCGTCCCACGGAACCTTCTTAAGACCAGCTCTAGCAGCTATCATGTCTCTTACTCTGTGGAAAGCATTCCATTAAGTATGAAAAAGGCAGTATGTTTCTCATAAAAAAAACTAGAATCCAATTTTATGCTACCTTTCAGCAAATTCAATTGCTGTTTCTCCATCCCTCAGATACTGAGGCTCCAAGTACCATACATCACACACAACTGCCCATGATGTCATAAGCCTAACCAAGTGCATTGTAAACGATTGCCTGACAAAAATTACGAGAAGATATTAAGTGAAATACAGAAGAAGATAAATGTGAACAAAGTAAATTTGTGCAGTTGATTGTATTCCTCACTTCTTACTATTCCAGAAGGCATCAACAAATATTTTATTGTATTTGATAGCTATTGGGCATACAGCACAGCCAAGCTCAAAAGCACCCTGGAAAAACATAATGAGAATGAAGACAAATCATCATTAGTCTGATCGTGGTCAATTCCAGCAAATGTTAAAACATAACAAGAATGAAGACAACTCATCATTTGATAGCTATTTAGAAGATGACAACTTTCTAGCATTTGCTATCTTTTAAACATGTCAGGCATATGATTGGCAATGAGTATGTTCGTACCACTACTAGAAATACTCAACTACTCTTATCTATCTGCCAAAATATTTGTGCTATCTGCAGTACCTCTTTCTTTTTGCATTCTCTGTCCATATGTACAGCTGTGAGTTAATTTTAAGTGAACTCATGCATTTTTAAATATAAGGACAATTAATTCTACCCTTTTTAAGTTTGAAACTTGCAGTATATTTATTTACGACCAGCCACAATTCACAAGACACACTTACTTTGTTAGTATATTTTTTACAATCTAAAAAGATGTCATATTTATGCTGTACGTACTGTAAGGGCTGGTTTTCTGCTTGAAGCTTGTTAAAAATGAACCAAAATTTGAAGCCTCTCTTGAAAGTTAGTTACACAAGGATGCATATTTGGTCATTTATTCAGTCACTTCAAAAGAACATATCAAGTTTACAACTTTACCTTCTTGAACATGACAGTGTACTGGTTGTTAACACAAGTTCCTTCAGGGAAAATCAGGAGAGGATTGCTGTCTGGATGTTGAACATGATCTCGTAACCTGTTGACAGAGTTCTCTTAATAAACTGAACTATATATAGTAAGTAATGCATTGGAAATGAAAAATTATACTTTTTTGCAACCACTTCACGATCCTTGAGATCATTGCGATTAAACCAGATGCAACCAACACTTTCCAAGATAGTCTTCTGAATAAATCCTGTACAAGGGAGGAAAGCAAATTTTATCAACAATCTAGCAATGCAAAAGGTAGAGATCAACAATCCATCCTGAAGAATGAGAACTGACCAACCCATCCAGGATGCTTTTGCATAATGACAGCAAATGCTGTCATCTGCTCCAGAATAATGAAATCTATCATCGATGTATGGTTTGCAACAAATACCTGTGGTAATTAGAATTTAGAAGAGAGTTGCAAAGGATATCCGTCATTCATTAATGGATGAACATGAAATTAATTAAGTAAAACATAATGAAGGAATGACAATGTGTACCTAAAGAATGGTTTCTGCAAATGTTTGCATTTAAATTGGAATTATAGACCTTGTGAAACATGAGGAGATTTTGTGATAGAAAGGATAACTTTTCCTGAATTATCCAGGTGAGATTTCCGGGGAACAAGGCTAAGTTAATAACTATGATGTTTGGCAACAGTGTTGCGCACCACATGTTCCTATAAGTGCATAAACTACTTAACATGGGTTCTAAGAGAAAGAAAGTTTGTAACCTGATGAGGCCGTGTGCTTGGGCGAGGCCCATGATACTTGATCACTCCAGTCCAAGAAGCAACAAAAACACTGCACATCATTTCAACCAGCTTTCTCTGCAAAAAAGATTACAGTGTTTTTGAATAAACAAAGAACCTAAGTTGCAAAATATTATGACATATTATGGCTGCATATGAACATACACACATCTACAACCAGAAATTGACATAGATGGGAGATAAGATAAGTCACCTCTATTTTACTTCTCATCTTTTGACCTTTCAATAAGAAATGTACAGGAAAAAAGGCAGCAAAGAATGCTAACCATCCAACTAGAAGAGTTAGGCCCCTGAAACATAACATGGTTACAGTTATCAGATGAGAGTGACTCAATATTCGACAAAAGAAAAGAATATAAGCTAGATCCAGAGACAGAAAATAACTTTTAGTAGTAATACATACACAAAGATACCGAAAAAAAAATTCTCTCCAACATTTCACACAAAATTCAAATGAGTTTCCTGAACAAAGTTGGTCTTGAAATATTCTGATTTCTGACGTTATGTGGAAAGTGATTGTAACTGACCAAAAAAACTCATAGCACATGGTTAAAAACATCTACTTCATTGCCAGTTTGGACAAAGGTTTTACAGATCAAATGGGCTAGGATACCCTTGTACTACAAAATATCAAGTCAACAAAGAAGGATACATTGCAAACACTTACAAAACAAGTAAACTAATTAGCAAAACTGCCGCCCTAAATATAGTGTTCAGATTATAAGGATCCAGTACCTCAGCGGGAATAGTATTCCGTATCTTATCACTACTCCCAAGCACCACAATGGGAATAAATAAATGTTCCAATTCCATGGCTCTGGAGAATTTGACTTAAAGCAACGTGTGAATGAATCCTGTATCAGTGTAAACACAAGCAATGAGAAAGCTAGACAACATCGATCACAACAAGAAGAATTGCCATAAGAACGACTGCTATTTATCCCACACCGCATCACAACTGAAGTTACGTATGCACAGTAGTAAAATGATATGAAACAAAGATGCATGAGATGTCAAGTCATTATCTTGGCATACTCTCACTAACAGGCTATGGAAGTACCCATATACTTGTCTAATACGAACAACATTATAAAGAAAATGTTATCATGTTCCTGTTTTAAACCTTAACTAAGGGAGATTTACTGCTCCTTTAACTTGAAGTTTTGAAAATAGTGTCAAAGACAGACATCCTTTTCTTGTTCCACCGATATATACCCAGGGCTTAGATGACAACTTTGTAAAGAACATCGAACTTAGGGTTAATTAACATTACAACATTAATTATATTTTGATTCTTATACAAAATTGATTACTGACCACAAGCAAAATACTCTTTTCCTCAGTAATAAACGAGAGTGTTCAAAGCGCGAAACAATCCAGAAATTGTCCTCAAGGGAGGCCATAAAATAGGAAATTTAAGGTAAATCTAACTATATGCAATATTGACGAAATTGTACATATTTTCGGAGATTTTGACGCAAGAACAGAGTATGAGAGTAATCATATGAAAACCGTACAAATTCAAAAATTTGAGCGAAGCAAGCCTAGCCTTGTTTCCACAAAAGGATTGCTCTACTCCTTTCGCTAAACCTCACAGATCAAAGCCTATAAACGTCCTATCTGCTCTTGCCATCTCATAGAACATCACCATCTAATAACCTGAGAACGCACGAAACGGGGGGGGGGGGGGGGGGCGATTTTAAGACCCGGGTAAGCCACTCACATCGACGATGGCGCCCGCCGCTTCAGTGAGCACCGGCGAGATGTCCAGCAGATCGCGCCTGCACGATGGCAGAAGAGAGTAAAGAATCGCCTAAAAAATATCTCGCCAAAATCCCCCACATAATCCCAAGCTAGGGTTAACGAGCGAAGAAAACAAAGACGGGGAACAGAGAGGGGGCTAGGGCGCGATTACAGATGGAGATTCCTGGGGAACTCCTGCGGCAGCGAGTCGGATGGGAGGTAGTCCTCCAGGTTCGGCCGGTCCAGCTCGATGTCCCCCGCCACCGACGAGGTCGCCATCCCCCCCTCCGTCGATCCCCTCCGCCGCCGCCGAGGAAATCTTCGCGATGAGGAGCGAGAGCGAGAGAGATGGGCGCAATGTGGCGTACGTCCAGCGAATCGATGCGTGGGTGGATCGGTGGACCAACAGACAGCGAAGGGGAAGAGAGAGGCTCGTCACCGGGTGGGCCCCGCACACCGACAGGTGGGCCCACTGCAGCGCCTACATGGGCCGGCTCGGGTGAATTAGTTGGCCAAAACTGTCGGCCCATGTAAGGTCCATAAAACCGAGGTTTACCCTTGCGCGTCGCCGCCACTCGCAAGCAAGCAGCCGCCGCCATGGCGCCGCCGGGCAACTCCGACGAGCTCGCGAGCTCCAAGAAGGTGAAGAAATCTAACTCCAAGGAGGAGAGGAAGCACAAGAAGGGCAAGCATGAGCGCCCCGCCGCCTCCGACGAAGCGCCGACTCCCCGCAGCGACGCGAAGGGGAGCAAGGGCAAGAAGCGGAAGCACAAGGACGGGGAGGGGGAGAAGGAGCACGGGAAGAGGTCCAAGGAGAGGAAGGGGGAGGGCGAGGCGGCGGAGGCGAGGCGCGGGGACGACAAGGTGAGGCGGGCGATGGAGGACGAGAGGTTCGCGGCGGCGCGGACCGACCCGAGGTTCCGGGCGATGCGGCGGAAGGAGGCGAAGGTGGAGCTCGACTCGAGGTTCACCAGCATGCTGACGGACCCGAGGTTCTCGTCGTCGTCGGCGCCGGTGGACAAGCACGGCAGGAGGCGCCGCAAGAAGGGTGGCAGGGAGAACCCGATGCTGCAGTACTATCTCAACCAGGAGGAAGAGGAGGAAAAGGAGAAGGCCAAGTTGGTTGAAGAAGAGGAAGAAGAGGGGGACGCAGAAGAGCAGCAAGGGGAAGAAGAGAGCTCCAGTAGCGACGACGACGACGACGATGAGGACGAAGAAGAGGACGATGACGACGAGGTGGTACTTTGCTTACAATTTTTTGATGGTTTGGTTTATATTTCGTTCAATTCTCTCGCTTGTAGCATGGAAGTACTTTATTTACTTTATACGTCTCGTCCATTCTACATATTATATGGTAGATGATAGTGATTAGCTCCTCCAAGAACTCAATTGCATATATCTTGTTTGGAGCATGATTTGTAGGGGACTACTTTTGAGTCTGAGTTTAGTTTTAAGAGCATTAAGTACTTCTTGTTTTTCTATCAATATATGGTCTTGGTCATTTGTAACCACGGTATGTTCAATCTGATGTTACAAGTGTTATGAACTGTTAAACTTTTTTTTTTGGGCCGAATGTGTAGGTTATAGAGCTATGTGGTTGTACCAAGATATGCGTCTTTGTAGCTACGCATTTTTAATAGTCGACTAACCAAAAAAAACAAAGGGCATGTGTTTGTGTTGTGGTATTTGACACAATCCCTTCGAATTGCTTGGGACTCAAGTGCACTTTGTTTGTCCAAATGTCCAATTGAAGGGATTGGACATAAACCCACATGTCAAAGACCCTACTTTACTCATGTACTCAGCTGACAATGACATGCCACTGTTAGTATTTTTATCCACCATCCTGCCGCTTAAATCTATTTTTTGAGTTAGCCTTGTAATTTTTGTATTTTGTAAGCATTGATTAATGATTGCAATATTTATGTAGTTTTCGCCCTTCAAGAAAAAAAAACAATGTTTTGCAACATTATTCTTGCATTATATCTAATACATGGTCCTTTTTTTTCACAGTACTCTGTCGGCAGTGACATTGCGCATTATTTGATGGGCAGGCATGATGATACACCTATGATTGACAAGGAAACCCATAGGCTTGCTGTTGTTAATATGGACTGGGATCATATTAAGGTGTGTGATGATTGAAAATAATTATTTTTTTGTCAAGCAAACCTATTAGCATAAACAATTTACAGAAATATTAAAAAAGGCTTTGTTACTGGATGCTTAAGAATTACCTTGAAACCAATAATTTTACTGAAAAAACTTGTTTATTATGTGATTACATTTTTTTAATGCTTTTGCTTTTATGAGCGCATTGGTAGCTTCTATCGAACACTTTTGTGCCATTGGGGTGATGTTTGGAAAAAAATTGTCTGCTAGGTGGCAGCAGCATTTACAGAGTATGTTTTATGGCTGAAAGATGTTTATGTTTATTTCTTATGTTCTGTTTAAATCAGGTGAAATTTCTATGTGTACTACTCTCTTTTCTTTTAGTTGAGGACCTAATAGTCCACCATATAAATTCACTTATTTTATCAAACATAGTTATTGAGGATGCTAGTTCTTGTAAACAAATGTAGTTGCATCTAAGTTCTTGTAAAAAAATGTTGTTGACAGAGCAGTGCACACTGAGGCACTTGGCGAACACATATCCAAACTCTAAAAATGCTTGGACTTTGGAAAGTTTAGAGGGCAAATCCAACTTAGCAAAATCCTGGTTGTTAAAATGAAGATCTGAGTTGTTACATTGTTATTTTGTCTCCTTGCAACTTTCAATTGATTAGTTTTGTTCATCCTTCATTGTACAATAATACTATATTTTGTTTGCGTCCTTCCAATAGGCAGTTGACCTGTATATGGTGATGACATCTTGCCTCCCAAAAGGTGGGCGAGTCTTATCAGTGTCAGTCTATCCATCAGAATTTGGACTTGAGCGCATGAAAATTGAGTCAACTAAGGGCCCAGCTGCCCTTGTTGATGTCAATGGTAGTGATGGTGAATATAGTGGTGGTGATGATGATGACGACGATGAAGAAGAAGAAGATAGTAGTGACACTGAACATGATTCTGAGGCTGAAAACAACAAGCTACGTACTTATGAGCTAAACAGACTGAGGTTAGTAACAAAATGGAGAAGGATTTTTTTTTATCTGTTTTTCTGGGACTTGTAGACAGTCTTTAACATGTTCAAATCCTATGTGTAAATATATGTTTTTCTGCTTGATGTATTTATCACTGTCTGTGTATGAGGAGACATTCTCATCTATTCAATTTTTTATACAACAATGTAATACCAATCTTATGCGTACGCTTATCTTGTTGTAGGTATTACTATGCAGTTGTGGTGTGTGATTCCAGTGCAACTGCAAATCACCTGTACATGAATCTTGATGGTACAGAATTATTGAAAACATCAAATGTGTTCGACTTGCAGTTTATTCCTGACTCTATGGAATTTAAACATCCTGCTCGTGATGTTGCTACAGAGGTATCTTACTTTACTACATTGTATCATCAGCAATTTTGGTATATAATAAGGTTGAAACATGAAACATTGAAATAAAACTGATCCTTTTCCTTCTTCAAAAGTGACTTGCCATGTTATTTTTCCATTGTTCAAGTTAACATCTTTTAAGTTTAGTATAACTTGCTTTTCAATTGTGCTAAAAGAATTACTTTTAGTTTGTCAGTGATTTGTTTGATATTATGCAGGCACCTCCAAGTTACAAGGAGCCTAATTTTGAAACTCGTGCTTTGCAACATAGCAAGGTTAAGCTCACGTGGGACGATGATGAACCAGAACGCAAAAAGGTCTTGAGGCGAAAGTTCACTGATGATCAGGTTCATTCTTATATAAATTATTTTGTTTGTGTTACGAGTTTATAGTTTTTTGGTAGGTCCAATAACATGATAAACAATTATGGAGTAACATGTCATGAGCTGGGCCGCTGGCACTAAAGTCAATAATATTTTGCAATTCATCTCCCTTTTTATGTGAAAGTTCTTTCCCTGTGAACGGCTATGAGTTATACTGGTTTGTCTCGATGTTTGCCTATCGTGTAGGGATGATATTTTCCTTATTCGTTTTTATTAGGCACAAATTGATTTGGCACAATCTTTTAAATTGAAATGTGACCATACATTTCTTTCTCAATATATTGTTGCTATATAGAAAAATCATGTCCATATGTAAGTACATTGAAATACAAATCTAGCAGGTACCGCCTTTGTATCACTAAATAGTTATTTGAATGTCCTAATTGTTGGTCAAAACTAACGAAGTTTGAATCTTAAAATTTCTGTGCCTTATGAGTTGAATGGATATAGTACCTTTGTTGTTGTGTCCTTGTCCTTTTATTTTTGTTTTGGTCTACAGTTTTGGTAACTTTGTTCATGTTTTTGCTGCAGTTAGATGATCTTGATATGTACTTAGCAAGTGATGACAGTGCATCAGACGATGAAGGTGCAGATAATCATGGTGACGAGTCTCTACAAAGTGGAGCCAAAAGAAAGTTAACAAGGGAGGAGAGGTTGGCTCTTCTACTACAAGGTGACAAATCCGAGGAGGAACAAACTGATGGCGAGGACATGGAGATAACATTCAACACAGAGCTTGAGGACCTTAGCAAGCGTATACTTGACAGAAAGGTCAACAATGAGAAGACTGTCTGGGAGAAGCACCAAGAGAAAATGAAAGAGAAACGTAAATCTAGGAAGAGAAGGTCAAAGGATGATGATGATGATGGCTATAGCAGCGAAGATGGCCTGGATGAACATGACGATTTCTTTGATGATGAAATGTCTGATGAAGAAATTAAGCCAAACAAGAAGCAGAAGGCAAAGGCCAAAGATAAAGGAAAGGGGAAAGGAAAGGACAAACTCCCAGAACAACATTTGGAGGATGAAGCAACCAGAGAAGAGTTGGAGCTTTTGGTTGCGGCTGACAAGGATGCAGGCAACGGTGCAAAGGGTTATAACTTGAAGCGCAAAAAGGGTACGAAGGGCAAGAAGGGTAAAGAGCAATCTGTTGAGGACGAACTTCCCGACATAGATCTTAGCAAAGATGAGAGGTTCTCAGCCATGTTCAATTCTCATTGGTTTGCGGTGGATCCTACTGATCCCCAGTACAAAAGGTATACTATGCGCATTCGCCCATCAGACTACTTCAGAATTCATACTACTAGTGTAGCCTACATGATCTGCAATTCTGCATCTTCTTGGTTCAGTTTTACACATGTTAAATTGCTAACTGTTGCTGATGGTTACTTACAGGAGTGCGGCCTTTATGCGCAAGCAAGCTGGGATAAAGGGAGCACATGAACCATCTCTGGGAGGTAGAGGTAGTGGTAGAGGTACATTGCCACCTGATGATGTGCCTACCGATACTCATGACCAGAAACCTGATGGCACATCCACGGAGAAGCTGGAAACAATGTCTGCAGTCAAGTCACTAAAACGGAAGCTTACTGCATTAAAAAACACAAGCAAGAGTGACCGATAGAGAAAAGCTTTGCTTTACCCTGATGACCAATGAACAAGCTTTTTTTTTTATTTGTCTATGACGAGAGTTATTTTGGCTTTAGAATAGTTTTTAGGTATGTTATTTATGTTTGCTACCTACCTATGAAAATGTGTCAAAATTTGGGTTTTGACAATGATCAAGTAGGACAATTTTGTTATCCTTAATATTTTCGAATATAGTTCTATTATTTTCAGGCTATAAAATTAAATTATGATGGTGGCTTTGTACCAACATTAGTGGAATATTAGAAGCCACCTTCTGTTTTTTTGGCCTTCTAAATATAATTTTAGAAATAAACCCTCCAAGAACTAATGTCAAACCTGAAATTTTTGGTCATGTAGAATGATAACGCTGCCACATGGGTAAACCTGTTGTATGCCAGGCTGCAAGCCATGAACTGTGGAGCTATAGTAATTGGCATGTGCATGTTTATTTTTTATAAGAGTTTTTAGATAGTAGTTTATTTTTAAAATTCAAACAAAAATGTTCAAGAAATTAAGAAAATCCATCAGACAAGAACCGTTACAGCACGCGAGCAGGAATCCTCTCGCTTAGCTCCGACGAAACTGAAAACGAGCAGAGAAGTTTTTGTGCTGCGTGAAGCTGCAGCATTTTCTGTTTTTTTTCTCTTTTTTTTACTATTCTCCAAAGCTGGAGATTTTACATACAAAGCATGCCGAATTAAACACAAGATTCACCAAACTCGTGCCATCCCACCACGTTTGGAGTGATCAGCTCGGCATGCCGAATTAACACACGCAGGAACAGAAATGCAGGATGCAACTAAAACAATCTTAAAAACAAAAATGCACACAAGATTACAATGTTGCCATCAACACTGAATACACTGAATACATAAAAGTAGGAAGAACATGAAGGCCTTATTTCATCATCTTTTCATCTTTATTCATAGTAGAAGAAACTGTAATAGAAATACCATCTTTTCATCTTTATTCATAGTAGAAGCAACTGTACCATCTTTTCATCTTTATTCATAGTAGAAGCAACTGTACCATCTTTTCATCTTTATTCATAGTAGAAGCAACTGTAATAGAAATACCTCCCAAGTTCCTTTCATCTTTATTCATAGTAGAAGCACTGTAATAGAAATACCTCCCAAGCAGGAGGAGCAGCATCAACAATCCTTATCCTTGACGATCGAAGGTAATTTGAGCGTGAAAGTAATACCACCATTGTTGTGTTCACTGACTTTGATTCTCAGGTAGTTTGAGCGTGAAAGTAATACCATTGCTGTGTTCACTGACTTTTCTTTTCAGTTTTTCCAGATTCTGCGGGTTGCACGTTCCCCCCTTGAGTTCGAGGTGTGTGAGACTCTGCAGCTTACGGACCCCTGAAAGCTTCTCCATGTGAGTGAAGGACCAAACTATCTTTTCAAGCTTATCAGGGTTTCGGTAACCAAAGGTGACGCTGATAATAATATCATCTTCAATGATAAGGTCCATGAGATTCCCAAAACTCCAGAACCGGAGAGCGCCTTCTGCAAATGAATGGTAGCAAAGCCTGAGATAGCGTATGCCATCGAGCCTGCTAAGTACATCGAGGGCGCCCTGATTCAAAAAGGTGTCACGTAGAGTTATCTTGGCAAGGTGATGGAGCTCCTTGATCCTGGGAGGCAACCTGCTTCTGATGCTACAGATGTGTAGGCTCTCCAGAAGCTTTGGAGGTCTCAGTAAAATAGCATCAATAGCATCCCAGTTACCCGGTGGATCCATTCGGATTGACAAGGACAGAAGACCTCTATGGAGTTTGTCAACCTGAAGGAATAAATCTATCAAGCTAGCTTTCGTGCCAGATAGAACCACACCCAGCTTCTTCAGGTGCTCGAGTTTGTCACCAATGTTGTTCAGTTCTGTAGCACTGTTGGAAACTTTGACATGGGACAATATCTCCATCTTTTCCATAGTTGCAACAGCACGAGGCACGCAGACAGTGGAGAAGAATTCCTTGGACTTGACAATGTCTTTGCCTGGGCAGACAATAATGCACCCAGCAAGCAGGTGCTTTAGCATTGGCAGCGCTGTGTGGAACACCTGTACCCTTGTTCCTCGGATGTCAAGTGTCTCTAAGAGCCTCAGCTGACCTATTTGCTTGGGCAGTTGGGCAACATCTGTGTTCCGGAGACTTAGATACTTGAGTTTGTGAATCTTGCATACGGTATGGAGGTCGTTTGCCTTGAGGCCCTTACGACCTTCCAAATCGAGTACAGTCAGCAGCAACCTTGAAGTGCTGGAAAGTGAGTTCAAGAACCTTGTGATATTAGAGTTAGCCGGATGGAGTTGCATGCCGTTCCGGATTGAGTAGAGGAGATCCAAGTCAAGTGGCAACTGGTTGTTGAGCAATAGGTCCTCAACTGTCGAAGACTCCCTGTCTATCAAATCGGCAACCACAGGATGCACAGTGCAGCTCTTTACCTTACGTGCACCGCTGAGTCCAGAAGGAACAATAAGCTTCTGTCTGAGCATGGCTTCGAAACAGTGCCCAGCTTCAATCTCTGCACTCGACTGATCCACTTGGGTAATCAAGCCTTGGGCAACCCATCGTCTTAGTAAACTTGCTCTTCGGACGCCATCGGGCATGCTGATTCCACGGGTGAAAACGGTTGAATACCATAAGCAGTTCTTGTAATTATTTGGCAGTGCTTGGTAGCAGAAGGCCATTATTCTGTCCTGCCTCCCATGATCTGTATATTCTTTACCAAGGCTTGTATTCAGGACCTGCAACTGGTGTTCCGTCGTTTCAGGATTGTAGTAGAGGGCATGGAGGAACATCTTCATGCAGAAGACATCAGGGCAGCATTGGGTGAGGATATTGCACAAAATTCCTTTCAAGTGTCTGTCATCGTATCTGTGGGGAAGCAGGGCGAGCGCTCTGTTGAGGTAAATATCAACGAGAGAGTAGATTACCGGAGGCCCACATTTGGCAGAGTCACAGCAATATTTTGCCATCTTACTATCATTTGTGCAGAGTATTACTGCACTGTCAGAGCAACCCGTCGAGCTCAACAATTCCAGGACCTGATGCCATAACACTGGGTAATTCAAACCGGAAAGAACAAGCAGCACATTTTCATTGCTCAATTTCTTGGCAAGCCTCTGCCTGTCTTCTGCCTCATTGTCTGTCTCCCTTTCTTTCGGGTGTCTCAGCTTGTCAACCATGGCCTTTGTAATCTCCGAGAGAATCGGAGGTCGTTGGAGAGCAACGTGGAGCTCCTCATCAGTCCATGGATTACGCCAGTGACTCTTGTAACGCTTGAGCATGGTCTCTCCAACAGCAGCTTCATCCATGCCATCTTGCACACTGATTATGACGACCCTGATATGCTGCTGCTTGTTGCCACCGTCCGACTGGGGCAGCAGCGGCTGCTGGTCATCACCATCCGACTGGGGCAGTTGCTGCTGCTGCTTGATGCCGCCTCCCGACTGCAGAGGCGGCGGCTGCTCCTTGTCACCACCCTCCGACTGCAGAGGTGGCGGCTGCTCCTTGTCGCCACCCTCCGACTGCAGAGGCAGCGGCTGCTCCTTGTCACCACCCTCCGACTGCAGAGGCAGCGGCTGCTCCTTGTCACCACCCTCCGACTGCAGAGGCGGCGGCTGCTCCTTGTTGCCGCCATCTGACTGCAGTGGCAGTGGCTGGACCTTGTCATCCTGCTTGTCGCTGCCGTCAGACTGGAGTGGTGGCTGCAGCTTGACACAGCCTCCCGATTGCACAGGCGGCGGTGGCTGCTCCTTGTCATCATGCTTGTTGCCGCCATCCAACAGAGGCTGCGGCTGCTGCTTGTCGTCGCTGTTCAACTCCTCCGGTGGCTTCACCTCAACGTAAAGATATTCTGTGAACGGCTTGAGCCGCGAGAGAGCCTCATCCACGCTGCCGTAGTCGCCATACCAGCCATCCTCGAGTATGGCACGCCGGGAAGGATTGTTCCAGCTGCCAGCATTGGTGCGCCTCTGGTTGCGCGGCCTCACACTAGCATCCCTGGGCTCCATTGTGGTGGTCACCTCGACGGGAAGCTGGTGATGAGAAACGGCAATGCCGTACCTCGCCTGCCTCTCACTAATTTCGCGTGCCTGGATCTTGAGCTCGCGGATCCGGGTGACGACCCGGTGGCGAGCTACCATTTCCCAGGGCAGCCAACCGCAACGCGCGCTACCAGACTGCGTGTAGAGCTCAACGCAATTTCTGGAATCGAATGCAAGCTCCATGACCTGCTTCATCCACGGGCGGAGCTGGTAGTCACCGGCAGTGGTACTCCCCTTGTTGGCCACGATGTGGCGGAGCACGTTGTTCATGCTCTCCATCTCTTGCATGATGAACTGCAGGTCCTCACGGACCCTGCCAAGCAGCCGGGCCTCGTCCTGGATGAGGCCCAGCACCAAGTTGACAGCGCCAAATGCTATGTCGGCCATCTCTTCTTCTTAGCTCTAGCTAGCTTATCAATGATCCGCCTATCTTCCGATCGATCAACAGTGGCAGCTGGTAGCTGCTACCATCCGGCCATGGCATGCAATGCAATAGGAGGTAGGAGCAGGAAGCAATTCCCACGTATGGTTGATAACCCTCTCCTCTCGTCTCACGGCAGAACAAAACAGGACTGCTTTTGTTTCTTTGTCAGCAGGATACAATTCGTGTTCCAACATTATTCCAGCCTACGGGCCATTTGGAGTCCAGCCATCTCTCTTGTCGTAAGCTCCTTGTGCTATTGCCTGCATCTTCTCTGCCCCTTCTACAATCATTTTATGCTTTGCTTGTGATCTGCAAAAGAGCAATTCGGATGGTATCTAACAGCCGCCTGCCCCTGAAGCAAAAGCAGCTGCATTTCTTGCTTTCCAAAGATACCAGCTTACAGCTGAACACCCAACAGATAGCTAGTCCGGCCCATTTGGATATCTTCAATTAGAGGCAGAATCTTGAAATTTGATTAATGCTGGGATCAGTGTATTCTTTCTTCCAGCATTAGGCTGTGTTTAGTTCTGCACTAAAATTGGAAGTTTGACTGAAATTGGAAGTTTAAAGAAAAAAGTTGGAAGTTGGTGTGAGTAGAAAAGTTTTGATGTGATGGAAAAGTTGTAAGTTTGAAGAAAAAATTGGGAACTAAACAAGGCCTTAATCAAGTTCATTTGTATTAGTGTATCCCAGCATCAATCAAAATTCATCTGTATCTATTGACAGCTCACTCTCTCCTTCTATGTCTCAAGCTCCTCTCGTATTTATTTTCCAAGGAAAAGATGTTTTGCAAAGTGAGATTGGGTGTCAAAATCAGGGAAAGGCTCATACTAATTCTCATGCTAGCACTCTTTTACTCTTTTAGCTGTACCTTCCGTGAGGGAAGAGGGCATCTTCGCTCTTCTCTATTTTGATCTTCTCCACGAGGTCGCCACTGAAATGTCCACACAAGGAGGAGATGCATTTCCCTATTTGCGCCTCCTTGTGATTCCAAGCCTTGCATCTAGGTAAAGAACAAGCATCTCAATAAAAGGAGCATTCCACGCTGAGTCGCTGACTGACATCCCAACCGCTGCCTCTTACGTGCTGATTACCGAACAGCTTAGTACTCATGTTAATAACACCAAGGTGAGTTGGCTCCTCCAATTTTCATAGCTTGCACATTTGACAATTTGGTACCACGCCGTGAGGATTTCTCATCCGTTGAAGGACCTAAGAACTGAAATCACAAATTCATTGTGTGCAACAAATCAATAAACAGCTCGAGTCACCGATCCCAAATCTTCCCAAATCAATTGGAGTAGAAGAGAGTCTAATCTACTATGTATAGAACTATAGATTGTTGAATACCGACCTTCCTCTTAGATCCTCCATCTCCATGCCCCCTCGGTCCGCGCCATGGCCATGGGACAGTAGGAAGGCCGATGACGGGAGATGGGAGGGCCGGTCACCCCTCGTCGCTGGGCCGGCGCCCGGCGGAGGCCCACCGGAGGTGTGGAGGCGTGGAGAAGGACAGCAGAGCGAGCGACGGCGAGGGCGGCGGCGGCGACCGGCGAAGGCCTGCACGCCTGGATGCATGGATGGAATGCAACGCTAGGGGCTGAAGGCTAGCGGCGTCGCCGGAAGTCGTCGGGATGGCGGAACGGCCGAGCCGCCGCGCCGCCGAGGAGCGGCGCGGCCGCATTGCGTGTCGGCGGTACCAGTTGGCGAGCAGGTCGAGAGAGACGAGAAGTTCGCGAGCTGATAGACTATGGGCCGTGGGCTGGATTGATAATTTTAAAGTCTATATTAGGTTCCTCGACTATGGCTGATAGGCTGAGCTTGAATTTTCTCACCCAACCATAATAAAATTTTAAAATTCAGATATGCCACATAAGTCACATCCGACGTGGTGCCATGTAAGTGCGTCCTAGGTGGCATGATATTGGGTAGATCCACGTCTTTTCATATGAAAAAGAGAGGAGATATAGAGAGAGAGGGAGTGCTCACAAGACATGACGTTCGACAGTGTGTGAAGTAAGCAGAGGTCCATGTCTGCCAACAATCGTGTTCTTTGGATCTGAAGTAGTGACGGAGGACTAGATCCGATGACGCTTCACGGGCTCAAGAGGTGTGAAGACCGAGACCCGCATTTCATGAGCTCAGGTAGCACTGCCACCGAGACCCGCACTAAACTGCCAAGATATGTATACCGCCGGACCCTCATCACTGCCTTTACCCAATGCACATTGTCATCCGACAAGCTATCGTCATCCTTGTCAAATTAATTCTATGTATCTCGTCCTGCGTGATGCATATCTCAGGCCTGGACTTTTTGTCAATCGTTCACCCATTTTTTATGAACGGTTAATTAGTTGTTGCAAGGGTTCACCCATTTTTTTTAAGAAAAAAAATACCAATGGCATGAGCTTTGACGAATATATTAAGAAGAATAGAGTTTACAACTACAAAGTCTAAATTGCTATGAAACGAATGAAACATATCAGATAAGCTCAAAAAGCTAAGAGAAAAGAATCATAGCAGTCTGAAAGCATGTATTTTGGTCTATTTCTTCCATAATTAATCTTACCTCTCTCTGCCTCCATGGATTTTGCGTAAAAAACCCTTTTGTTTCTCTCTAGCCAAGTGTTCCAACGGGAGGTTAGAAGAGTTCCAACGATTTCCTTTTGCTTGGAGTGAGGATTCGTGCTTGCTAGATCATTCTACTAGGATTATATTGAGGTTTCCGGGCCTGGCAGCAAGATTCTTTGCCCACATATGTACACATTCTCAATCAATCTATTGCCGCATGAGCTTTCTCTACACCATGGTATCATACGCTTTTGATCTAATTTTCTTCCACTAACCCTCTTGTTGCCGGCCTCTGCTCGACATGCCCATCCCCACCCTACTCCTCGCCGCCGCCTTCTCTATCTAGCATGCTCACAACGCCGATCTTCCTCTTCAATGTCATTGCCGTGCAGCCTCTGGCAATAATGATTTTGGGTTTAGAATAGTTTTTAAGACCTATATGTTAGTTGTGATCGTTGTCTACCTATAATGCGTCTAAATTTTGGATTTTGATATCTCAAGAATCAGATAGGACAATCCTATTGTTCTTCAATTCGTGATTTTTTATATGGTTTTCATTTACATGTTGACCGTGGCAAACTAATCTTCGAACCATTTTTAGGCGTCAGCATCAAAGGAGCAGACAAGTATTACGGCACACAGTTTTTGCATCTTGTGTGGGATGTTGAAATGTGTGTTCCTATGATCAATTGCATGTGTGCCCAGCGGATTCTCAAGACAATCCAGCGAGAGAACAACTGTCTAGTGTTTTGAGTTGAATCCTAAGAACGTGACGAGCAAGCCTATTAATTGTCAACTCTCAACACAACAGTAATATGAGAGACTAAAATATCATGAGTAGGAAACTAGATCATGGCACTCTTGGCATTATTTTGGTAGCAGCGTGTCCTTTTTCTAAAATAACTGAGCTCTTCCTTTATGACAATGAAATAATATTCTGGGCTCAGCTGCATGGGATCGTTTTCACTAAATTTTTTTTGATACGGAGTTCTGGCCTCTGAATAGGTAAAGAGAAGTTCTCGACGGCAAGGAAGGGAACACTGAACTTTCTATGATTTTCAACTAGTTTAACCTATTTAAAATCAGACGATCGAGACGGAACATGCATTTCATATTTCCATGTGAACTCCAACAACTCGACCAAAACGCATACAGATTACAGAATACAGCAGTGGATTTCAGAGCACTACTGCAGCCAACGATCGACCCAGAGATTCACATGAGCAGTATAAATAACATTATTGCAGACTGGAATTCCTAATCAAACTTAACCCACAGCCATGGCAGAAACTCCTGCTGCAGCAGCAGCCGTGGAATTCGGGCCTCATCCTCATGACATGTTGACGCTCGACGGGGAACTTTTGCGAGTGCTCATCACCGGCGACAGGGTCCGCTTGGAGGAGATTTTGAGAGAAGCGGGTAGCTATGGTGGCGACGGTGAACACCCTGGGGATGGTGGCAATGGAGGATCACCACCTCATGAAGTTCCTCCATTGGTGGACGGGCACCGCGACCCTCGAAGGGATGGCCCGGAGCTGATCGCGATTAACTTACCCGATCATGCGGCACCAGCCGTGGTGGTGGAGGCAGGGTTGTCGTTGAGCCCAAGGAGATCTTACGGCTATCTGAAGAGGTGCATTGCTGCCTGCAGCTGGAGCTCCATGGCACGCTGGTGTCAAGCCCGAGATGCTCCCGCTCCCCACCCAGCCCGCGGCCGCGGGGTACATCCGCGGCAGCCGATCGCAGTGGCGCCTGCAGCGCGACACGGAGCGGGCTGCCTTCTCGGAGTGACGAGCAACGGGAACACGGCCCTGCACCTCGTCGCCAGCCGCGGCCACGCCGAGCTCGCGGCGCTCATCCGCGTGAGGGCGCCCTCGCTCGTCGCCACGCGCAACCGGTGCCTCGACACGCCGCTCCACTGTGCGGCGAAGGCCGGGCACCGCGAGGTGGTGGCCCGCCTCCTAGATACGCGCACCGGCGTGGCCGAGGCTGAGGTGGAGTTGGCGGCGGCGGTGGCGGAGGCGGCTCTGCGGGTGAGGAACTGCCTGGGCGCCACCGTCCTGCACGAAGCCGTCCGGCATGGCCATACCGAGGTGGTGCATCTCCTCATGTCAAGGGCGGGCGCGGCTGAGCTGGCCTCCGTAGCATCCGACGACGGCGTCTCGCCGTTGTACTTGGCGGCGACGACCGGCTCGGTGCGCATGGTCCAGGAGCTGCTGCTTCGTCCGGCGGATGACGGGAGACGACGATCATCGGCGTCGTTCACTGGCCGGGAGGGACGTACGGCTTTGCATGTTGCAGCAACTAAAAGCGCAGGTAATACGTCATCCACAACGACAACTCTGCTGCTTCTCCAACTTCTGGTAGCTTTATATTCTCCTTAAAACGGAAGATGCGTCTGATGATTGAATACTGATGTCCAATACATTGGGCATTTTGCACTGGCACGTATAGAAGAGATTTTTTTTTCTCTGTTGTTTCACTTGCGACAGAATTTTAGGTTTTTATCTTTCGATTTTTCGTTCATAGGATGTTGCATCAAGATTCATATTTCTATAGATACTCAGTTACATAGTACTTTTACTCAGTTACAGTGCCCTCAAATTCAGCTACAATGCATTCACATTCAGTTACAATGCGTTAAAATTATATTTTACGACTATTTTTATCTATAGATATACGATTTTAACGTGTTTATCCCTTTTCTTTTTGTTATTTCATTCAAAACGGGTTGTATCCATTGGTTGAAAATTTTGCAAGATTTAAAGCTCTAAATCTGTAGAAAGATTAATAGGTAGTCTTTTTTTCTATTGGAAATGTTTGATGGTTTATTCTTATGCACTAATTGTCTCATGATCTATGGAAAATCCTGTACATGGATTACTGTTGTTTCAACATGCAGATTTTTTTTCTAATTCCTTTTTTTCACTTGTTCCTTATGTCAAATTCGTTGGGTTACTTTTTTTTAAGACATGTACTACCTCCCAAAAATGTAAAGGATTTTGGCTATGCATTTGCGTAGCCGAAATCCTTTATATCTTAGGAGGATGGATGTAGTATGTTGTTTGTGCTTTTCTCACTGAGAGAGTTTCTCCAGAGCTAGCCTCCATCTCCTCCCACTTCGGTATCGCGACGCTATAGCCTCCTGACCCTAAGTGGTGATGGTACTTCTTCTTGGCGGCATTTTCTTTGTTTCTTTCCATCATCGCCTGCCCTTGTTCACCTGTCTTATATGCAATGAACTCGTCCCAGTGATCCCTTAGCTTTGGGAATGTGTCGAAGTTCGGTGTCTGCCCCTTCAGGATATATTTCTTGTACAGCTCTCCCTTGAAGCTCTGAAACTGTTCTGCCATTTTCTTTAGAGTCCACCTTTTCACTTTGTCCTCTGTACCCGCGGGAAGGGTGAATGTCTCGAGCATTGTGGTCCACAGCATCTCTTTCTCCGAATCTAGGACAAAGCTCTCATGATCTCCGCGTGCCCTTGTTCTTCGCCAGTACACCGTACTGACAGGCACGTTATCCCGCACAACCCAACCGCTGTGACGTACATAGTTCTTGGCGGCTTCGGCCGGGGCACTAGGACGTCCATCTTCTTCCACTTCCGTTATGATGTGCCGACCCTCAAGCTTCTTCGCTGCACCTCGTTGCCCGCGTGCCCTCTTCTGTCCAACGGAGGGTTGACTACCACTAGCCTCCTCCTCCTGGTTCCCCTCCACATCCCTTTCCACGTGCCCCTGCTGGTTCCCCTCCGCATCCCTCTCCACGTTCCCTTCCTCGTTCAAGTACTGGTTTGGATCCTCGTTCCCCTCTTCTTCATTCCAGTACTAGCTGCTTCCCTCCGCGATTGTATCGTACAATATCTGTTTCTCATCACGGTCAGCCATCTGTTGATACAAGAAACATCTGCTAAGTCATGAGACATTTATGTTTTAACAATCTAAGTCATGTATGCTAAGTGTAAATGTCGTACATTAGAACCCTACACAACCTTACGTTCTAAGTCTAATTACAAATCGTGATATAAACTAAGTCTAGGTGACGTATATTATACAACCCTAGCTAGTAAATAATTATATACTAAGTCTAATTACAAATAAAATAATCTTATATTAAAACTCAAATAATATTACATGCTAAGACTAAAATAGTCATGTATATGCTAAGTGTTTCGTGCG